CTCGCAATCGACCGCTTCCGGGCAGGATTGAAGGCACGGTGCAGCGTCGCCCGCGAGATCTCGATGCAATCCCCGGTTCGGCAGCAGGGTGTCTGCAGCACGCGGGGCCAGATGATGTCCAGCGACGACCGGCCCCCATGGTGCAGGGAGGCGTCTTGCCGCCGGCGCTCCGCCTTCCCCCCATAGTCCAGCTCCTCAAGGAGCCGCTCAATCAGGGGCCCGAGGCAACACGAGTATTTTGTGAGCAGGCTCGGCCTCCCACCGGCTGCCCCCTTCCGCAGCAGAAAGCGCGTTGCCTTCAGCTCCGCGCGCGCTGCTGCCTTCTTCTTTCGCCGCGGCGTCTCACTGCTGGTTGCCGCACGAAAGAGGACGTCGAGCGATCCTAGATAGGTGGCCATGCCTTCTAGTTCCGCCACTATGGCGGCCACGCTCCCTGTCCTCCACCCAAACTCTTTTTGAACGAACTCGGGACTGGTCAGCTGGGCCACAACTCCTTTAAAAACCCTCCTGTCCTTTTCTGTGTCCAGAAACGTTATGTACTTTTGCACTGGTAGCTCTCTCACTCTATTCCGGGTTTCCTGAGACTTCTCCTGAAGCTGCCTAGCGAGGGTGGCAAACTGGCGGATGAACGCATCACTCTGGAGAGGCCTAGCACAGAGCTGAACCTCGCTTGAATCTACAGTCACTGTGACGGAGATGATGGGGAGATAGCGCAGAAGGCAGTCCAACAGGTTGCTGGGCTTGGCTTGGAAGGGGTAGCGAAGGTCCATCTCAGCATAGCTTTGCTGGGCGAACGTGTGCGCATCGGAGAGACTGAAAAACCTTGATTCGGCCAAACTGATTGCAGAACTGATCTCTAGAAGAACAGTAAGCTTTGCTGCGTCACCGGCGACGCGGGCCCAGGGTTTGGCCCATTCCGCAACACTCTCTTTCTTGGCTGTCCACAGCTGCTGAGTGGAAGCAACCTCCTCGAGGAGCTGCTCGAACACTCTGATGGTCTCATCGAGCGCCACCGACTCCTCCAGCGCCCGATTGATGTACACCCCTTCTCCGATCTTCTCGCTCTTGTCCGCCAAGACTTTCATTTCCTGCTTATACCTATTCTCTACAAACACGGCGGGCCTGAATCGCCCGGCAACAAGTTCTCTCCACTTTCTCCTCAACTCTTCCGCTGTTCGATTTTTCAGCACCCCTACCCCCTCGCAGCAAAGCGCAATTGGAAAACGCTGCCACAGACCCCGCTGCTGCCAGACCCAAACAGAAGCCACCAGGCAACACACCTCTGCCCCACACCACCCCTCGCTCAAAATAGCCTCTTCAACCGCAAACTTCAGGTCCAAACCCTCCAATTCTCTCTCCCCAAACGACAGCCCCTTTAGAATCTCCACCCAATCGTTCTCACCAGCACCCCCTCTCGCCTCCGTTTCCCCTCCCCTGGCCCCTCCCTTTGGCTGGCCCCCCAGCCTTCAAAACTCGCTTTCCTCCTCCCCTCCTAGCCCGCCCTGCCCTGACGCCTCGTCCTCCGCCTCCTCTTCTTCGGAATCGTCCTCCTCCAAGACCACTTGCGCGGAACGCCGCTCTCCAGCTCTTGGCCTCTTCCCTTCAAGGGCAGCTTCCTATAAAATGAGAATGACAATTGCCTCAACGCTTTGTTCAACTCCTCTCTGATCAGAAAATCTTGCATAAGACGTCAAATGAATGTCACAAAACTTCAAACGAAACAGGCCTTGAAGGCTCACGAAAGAGCATACAAGAGCGGGCGAGCCCTATGCGCGCCGAAGCTCCCTCATGACCGGCTGGTGCTTCTTTCAAAATCACTGTCAATCCCAATCTGCTGATGGGCAGGTCAAGTGCTGTTAACCGCCAAACATGCGCTGCACTTCTGCCGAGAATGTGCTATTAAAACAGCTCCAAGATGCTCGCAAAAGTCACACCCATGTGAAGCATTTCGAAGTGCCCAAAAGCCTGCTTCACTTGCGCTGGCGCCCAATTGGGAAGGACCAGATTTGCCATGTGCAGCTGTCTAAGGGAACAGTCGCAACAGCCGCAGCCCAAAGATAGTCCAAAAAGGCTCTCAGATCAGGAAGAGGGAGCGCACGACCGCGCCGCAGATCTAATGCAGAAACCCCGTCGTTGTGGTTGTAATTCTACATGATCGCTCTTTCAACCCCATGTGCGCCTGAGGTTTGACAAATATCCCCAGATTAAGAGCAAACTCTACGGAAACTTGCTAATGTTGTCAACAAACTCACCTGCTTGTTGAGCGCTGCCAGCTGGTCCTGAAGTTTCCTCTTTTCCGCCTGCACCTGCCAGAGCTGCTGTGCTCGTTGCAGAACTCCTGCCCTTCTTCCCAGGTGCCTTGCTGCCCTGGACGCCAACGGCAGCTGTCTTTGCCTGTGCAGGCCGCCCAGCGACTCTTCCCAGTCCGGCCTTGGCAGCCTCATTCTGCGACTCGATCTTCTCAGCAACAGATTCGAGGCGCTGCTTGAGCGAGAAAAGCTCCGCCTCGAGAAGTTCAGACTCCTTGACCATCTCGTAGGCGAACCGGAGGAAGTCAGGGGAGCGGACGTACACCGCAACCGGCTCGAGGTGCTTCATGCGGTCCTGCATTGGATGGAGAATTTGACTGAATTTGACTGAGAGCACAAACGAGAACCCAGAGACCACATGATGTGCCACCTTGCATGCAAGCAAGCTGGCTTTTCTTCTGCAAGCGCTTGACAAACAGGAAACCTGATGGCTCAGATCTGGAATAGGCCTCAAACAAACCTTGGTGCTTCGCAACTCCGTTGACAACCCAAAGATGCTTCAGATTTGCTCCACGCTCTCTTTTCCATCTGAAGCAAGCAATTGTGAGGTTACCATTGGCATGCTTCTTGGACTCCAGACATTTGTAGGGCAGCCAAAATGAAAACCCATCTTCTGAAGATTACTGGAAGACTCAAAAACTCGTTCATGAACTTGGAAAGACGGATTACCAAGGGGACATCGCACTAACTGCACAAATGTAGTCCTAGAATCAAAGGTAGTCCTACATCCAAAATAGAGAGGCATTCTATGGATATCAAATGCAATAAGGACAGAAAAACCCTTAGGGGACACTGACCTGGAATGCCACCAAGAGAAGAACGTCGTTTGCAAGCGCTGTCCGCAGCCTTTGGATGGCTCTGCGGTGATCCCCGTACTCCACAGCTTCCCCAGCCTTCACGGCAGCCTTGAGGGCCCCTTCCAGCGCCCCAACCTTGTCCAGATGCGAGCCGTCTTTCCCCCCATTTGTGACAGTGACGCCTTGCTTCAATGCTCCCAGCTCCTGGCGGATTGCAAAGCGCTCCTGGGCGTACAACCTGACTGTCTCTGTGTCGTAGTGTAGAGAGGACTCCTCCGGCTGCCGAGGAACGGGCCCCTCGCTGCCAACTATGAGGGTCACTTCCGACGACACCTTCGGGCTCCAACCCTGCATCACCTTCTGATACCTCTGGCTGATAGCACCGCCCACTGCTTCAGACTTTGCAGTCTTGGTAACGGTGAAGCCAAAAGCAACAAGGCTGCGCTTAGTGGCCCCTATCTGGGTTTTATTGAGACTGCTAGCGCGCACAACCCAAGCGGAAGCCTTCGCTGCATTGAATTCTGCGAAGTGGCAAAGGCCATTCTTGTTCTCTCCCTTTGCAGCTAGAGCCTGTTCCCTGAGCCTCTCCGCCTCAGCGACGGGCAGGCGGCAGTGGCACTTGCGAGTCCCTTTGCCATGAAGAGTTTTCCAGCAGCCGCCGCACAACAGCTGATCGCAATCACTGCAGTACGCTTCAACGGCATTGCGATAGATGCAGGGCTCGTCCTCTTCAACACCCTCGCAGGGGATCGTGGGCTGCTCAATAACAACCCTCTCGTGAGCCTTGTTGCGGCCCACTCTGTGCAGGCCCTCCCAGCAACTTCCACAGAGCGGCAACTCGCAATCCTTGCAGAGCCAAACTGCTGGAATCCCTGGGTTCTCCCCTTCTCTGCACGCCTCACAGTCTTCAGCAGGACCAGCAGGCTGAAGAGGCCAACTCTCATCCCCTGGGACAGCTTGATCGACATGGGCATCCTTGTCCGAGGACTGCCCTGCCACAATCGGGCCTGTCTGTTCAGCATTACTCAGGGAAGCAGCCATCACGCTAGAAAACGCCCTCAAAAAGCTCTTGCCTTCGATGAAAACCCTGCCGCCTGCGCTTGACACCCGCTTGACAATGACGGTCAGCTAAGGCAGCTCACAATTGCCTCTCATACCCTGGTCACACATGCCAGAAGTTTATCCGCATCCAAGACTGTTGAGGCTTGGAGGCTCATGCAGGAGGGGCAAGCTGGACTCCAGACTCCAGAGCCCCGGCACAGACGAATCTGCCAGATCTGCCCAGCAAAATCGGTACACGGATCTGCCCGGCAAGCCGGTTTTTGCGAGACTATCTCCGGGGCAGTTTCTGCAGGGGTGGGGATCGGCGGCGGGTTTTACACCAGGAAATTCGGAATATTGATTCAACTTTAGTGGGGCGAGGGGTTGGCGGCTGGCTGTTACAAATTCGGAATCATCGACGATTTAAGGGGTTTTGGGGGTCGGCGGCCGGCGAAATTTGCCAAAAAAGTCCCCTCCGGGGGGGCGGCGGCCGGCGAAATGTCGGCGTTCGTGCCGTCGGTGTAAAACTGTTGTGAGACCACGCCAAAGCCATGAAAGAATTCTAGAGGCAGGTAAGGCTCTACAATACTTCTTGGGTAGTTGCTGCGAGTGAATTCAAACAACGCTCATCAGATGCGTAGCTGCAATGCCTTTCTCTTGCAAGATATGGCACATGCGAGCTTGCTGTGGCACATTCTGAATCAGCACAACCAGCGCAACCATCGCAGAACTCGCAGAACTCGACTACAGCGATGTCATGGAGCTTTGGACCCTCTAGCGAGATTCTCGGAGCTTGCACGTCAGCCGCTATTGAAGAACCGGCGCCGGTACATGCCCTCAGGTAGCAGCTGACCCCGAGAGCCGTTCTTGAAAACGGGAGGGGCCTACCAAATGAAGTTCGGCATTATTTCGACGGCCAAGATCGACCGACCTTGATCGGACGGTGATGATGCGTTAATGATATGACGGATTCGCTAGTGACGGTAAATATAACTGGTGAGGAATCGCCAGCTCGGCCCCCCACCGCGAACACGGCCCGGAGAGAGCCTCGAACGTCGAAATTGCGAAACTTTGGGGTTTGCAACCGGGCACACAAGGCTTTCTCGGAAGAAGGGCTCGGTAAACTCAACTTAGGAACATGAGACTTGGCCAAGAGGGTAAGTTTCGAACTCAAAGAAGGCCCGGTTATTCCGGACCGAGTGGCAAAGGTTTGTTGCCGGGTCAAGTGTTACTTAGGGAAAAGGATTCGCTGCGGGAAGTAGAGTTGATAGATGGCGGCTTGACAATGAAAGTCATGCTCTCCCATTGTGCAACGGTCATCAACGGGATCAGTGGGATCAGTGGGCAGTCCAGTGGGCAAGTGAAACTGGAGCCAACCACTTTGGAGCGAATTGCTTTGACAGGCTACTACCGAGTTGATTACCAACATTGTCAGGAGCGGACTGCTGTGAAGTGTCTCACATGCGCACAGCAGCTCTGGATAAAAGACACGTCCATCCGTGACGGTGGCCTGCGGCTCACCTTCCGTAAGGGCCAGGAGAGCAAGGGTCTCTACAAAGGCTATCTGATTAGCTCAGATGTGCCAAAGTCAAAGCAGACAAAGCAGATTGTTTGCCTGAGCTGCATAGATAGGCTGCTCGGCAGCATTGCAGAGAGCGCAGACGGGCAGTCGATCATTCTGGGGAGCAGACTGGATGGGGGTGTAGAAGGGATCATTCTACAGCGGCAAGACGGAGCAACATTCTGGACCCAATGCCTTGAGCTGACGAATGAGATTGTGGCCTTTCTGACGCAGCAGAATGAGAGCACATTGGTACGGAAGAAGCGCACGCTAAATGCGGCAGATCGGGTGATCAACAAGGGTGCAGCCAAGGGGTTGCGGCAACGAGAGGGAGGGGTACCATCCGCAATTGATGTGAGTTACAAACTAGACGCATGTGCTTGTAGTTTGCTTTATACACTTCAGGAAAAATCTATG